CTGCGGGGTAGAGGGATAAGGGACCCAGGGCCAGTCCCTGGGCATTAGTACTCACCTCACAGTGGCTCAGCTCCCAGAGCCATCATTGACACCATTTGCAGGAGGATGACTAAATGTCTTTTAAACACAAGGATTTGGGAAAGAGTTACCCAATTGTGTGCACAGCATTCTCAACCCTTCCCCTCAACGTTTCTTGAAGGACCTGTCAGTGGGTGGTCAGCCTGTTAGAGAACTTACATCTTAGATCTAGTTTCTCATGAATCCATGACCTGTCTACCACATTAAATGCAAACCTGCCCAACGTGCTCATCCACCTGACTTTGGCCCAACTAGGCAATTCACTGCTCCCTAACCTGGCTCCATGCCTCACCACCTCTGTGGAGGCTCCCAGGGAGAACAGTCATGTCTGACTCTCTGCTGCACCCCATCAACCCAAGGGCATCCTGTGACTCCTGGCGAGTTCCTCAGGTCCAACTCTTGTTCCTTCTTTGCACACCTCCCTTGCCTTTCTATTGATATAACCCTCCTTTCTTTGTCCAGTGGATGAAGCACAACAGCAAATAAAGTGTTCACAATATAGGGGCATTCGCAGGAAGGCTGCAAGATGCAAAAATGCCAAGAAAGCTCGCTGGCTGAGGATGACACAAGGTATTTGTTCACACTGGATGGTTGGGTGACGACAAGTCAGCCTGTGGGAAATAAAACCTCTGCTTCTACTTGCTCACCTCCTGACCTTGAGAAGTAGCTCTCTGCCTTGGGTCTGGAGGGGAGACAGTATCTTCTAAAGCAGGGGAAGGCATAGGTGGATGCCTTCAGGAGCTCTGCAAACATATCAAGGCACAAAGCAGGGCAGATGGGACCACCTGCTCAGCTGGGCTTTAAAACCTCCCTGGAGGCCTAATTCACTGGCAAAACAAAGTACCTCCATGTTTGGTCCCCAACTAGAGGCCTACAGTTTGCTTCCTTTCTGGAAGAAAAGGTAATCTATGGTTATATAATTGGAGGAAGGTTTTCTTTTTCCTGTTTCCTTGCTTTCACTATTTTGTAGAAAAATAATTAAGCTAAAATAGCAGTGATAAATCAGAATGCTAGAAAGCACCTGGCATATACCTATTCATGATAGTGAGGACAGGTAAACAGGCCACAATAAGCTGGCATTGACTTGCAGCCCCTACCACTGTCTCAAAGATTCCACGTCATGCAAAATCTTGAGATGCTGATGAGGTATTCAAGAGGGCCGTGCAGAGCAAAGCACTATTCTAGCTGGTGACAATGCAGTAATATCACAAGGAGGGGAATGCAGAGAACTTTAGTATTGTGATGGTTTAGAGCATGGACTTTAAAGACAGTCAAAGTCCAACCAGAGAAACTGAAATAAATTTAAGAACCTCAAATGGGGAGAATTTAATATAGATGGTTATCTAAGGGAGCTGAGAAGCCAAATGTATGGTGAGTCACCTCAGAATTTGCAGCAGCAGAAAGGTGCTACTGTCCCCAAGGCCAGAGGGACCAAAGGAGGAAGGAGGTAATATTTCCAAAGCCTAGGATATGGCACTCCCAACAGGTCATGGTGGACCTGCCTAGTGGAAGCTAGGACCACGGATGACGTGGCTTTCTGGTAGGAATTGGAGGCACAGAGGAGGTGCTTCCTGCGGTACAGCAGAGGAATACCTTGGCTTCTCACCACCTCCTGCCCTCCCACCATCTGCTAAGGCACCCCTTTGGCCCATCTATATGGTACCTGGAGAGCAGGGGTTCCTGCAAAATGTATACAGTTCCCTGCAGTTCATAGTATGGCCATTGACTAGCTGGGTGGCCTAGGGCAAGTCACTCAACCTACACCGCCGTGTCCACCACTGTAAGACTGGGATAATGCCTCTCTGCCTGTGTAACTCATCCAACAGTGGCCATAACAAATGGCCATACAGGAGAGGGGCGGGGCCACGCTGGGACTGTGATAAGGTCAAGAAAGGAGCGGCTATCCCAGATTCCCGTGCTGGGAGTGGAGGCCATCATCTTTTTTTTTTTTTTTTAAAGATATTATTTATTTATTTGAGAGAGAGAATGAG